AGTGGTGTAGTGGGTTAGGTTTAGTGGAGTAGGTGAGGTGGTAGTGGTGTAGTGGGTTAGGTTTAGTGGAGTAGGTGAGGTGGTAGTGGTGTAGTGGGTTAGGTTTAGTGGAGTAGGTGAGGTGGTAGTGGTGTAGTGGGTTAGGTTTAGTGGAGTAGGTGAGGTGGTAGTGGTGTAGTGGGTTAGGTTTAGTGGAGTAGGTGAGGTGGTAGTGGTGTAGTGGGTTAGGTTTAGTGGAGTAGGTGAGGTGGTAGTGGTGTAGTGGGTTAGGTTTAGTGGAGTAGGTGAGGTGGTAGTGGTGTAGTGGGTTAGGTTTAGTGGAGTAGGTGAGGTGGTAGTGGTGTAGTGGGTTAGGTTTAGTGGAGTAGGTGAGGTGGTAGTGGTGTAGTGGGTTAGGTTTAGTGGAGTAGGTGAGGTGGTAGTGGTGTAGTGGGTTAGGTTTAGTGGAGTAGGTGAGGTGGTAGTGGTGTAGTGGGTTAGGTTTAGTGGAGTAGGTGAGGTGGTAGTGGTGTAGTGGGTTAGGTTTAGTGGAGTAGGTGAGGTGGTAGTGGTGTAGTGGGTTAGGTTTAGTGGTGAAGTGGAGGTGGTAGTGGTGTAGTGGGTTAGGTTTAGTGGAGTAGGTGAGGTGGTAGTGGTGTAGTGGGTTAGGTTTAGTGGAGTAGGTGAGGTGGTAGTGGTGTAGTGGGTTAGGTTTAGTGGAGTAGGTGAGGTGGTAGTGGTGTAGTGGGTTAGGTTTAGTGGAGTAGGTGAGGTGGTAGTGGTGTAGTGGGTTAGGTTTAGTGGAGTAGGTGAGGTGGTAGTGGTGTAGTGGGTTAGGTTTAGTGGAGTAGGTGAGGTGGTAGTGGTGTAGTGGGTTAGGTTTAGTGGAGTAGGTGAGGTGGTAGTGGTGTAGTGGGTTAGGTTTAGTGGAGTAGGTGAGGTGGTAGTGGTGTAGTGGGTTAGGTTTAGTGGAGTAGGTGAGGTGGTAGTGGTGTAGTGGGTTAGGTTTAGTGGAGTAGGTGAGGTGGTAGTGGTGTAGTGGGTTAGGTTTAGTGGAGTAGGTGAGGTGGTAGTGGTGTAGTGGGTTAGGTTTAGTGGAGTAGGTGAGGTGGTAGTGGTGTAGTGGGTTAGGTTTAGTGGAGTAGGTGAGGTGGTAGTGGTGTAGTGGGTTAGGTTTAGTGGAGTAGGTGAGGTGGTAGTGGTGTAGTGGGTTAGGTTTAGTGGAGTAGGTGAGGTGGTAGTGGTGTAGTGGGTTAGGTTTAGTGGAGTAGGTGAGGTGGTAGTGGTGTAGTGGGTTAGGTTTAGTGGAGTAGGTGAGGTGGTAGTGGTGTAGTGGGTTAGGTTTAGTGGAGTAGGTTTAAGTGGGTGAAGTAGGTGGAGAGTATGTGGATTTAGTGGGTTAGGTTTAGTGGAGTAGGTTTAAGTGGGTGAAGTAGGTGGAGAGTATGTGGATTTAGTGGGTTAGGTTTAGTGGAGTAGGTTTAAGTGGGTGAAGTAGGTGGAGAGTATGTGGATTTAGTGGGTTAGGTTTAGTGGAGTAGGTTTAAGTGGGTGAAGTAGGTGGAGAGTATGTGGATGTAGTGGGTTAGGTTTAGTGGAGTAGGTTTAAGTGGGTGAAATAGGTGGAGAGTAGGTGGATTTTAACATGAACTTAGGTGTTTTCATTTTTTGGGAATGCTCTATGTTTTTATAGCTATTTGAAGTTGAGAATATGAATGTTGCTAAACATCCTAATCGATGACATGATTTCCATCTTTTCTAGTGTAGATCAAAATAGAATAGTATATTTCAATTTCTCGAAGCCCACTTTGTGTTGTTTCTACATTTCTTGTTGGTGAAAATGTGGAATATCTATTACATGTAGGGGTTGCGCTATAGTTTGCAATTTGTCTATTATATTTGGTATCCAATTTGTCTATCCCTTCAATATCAATATTTTTTCAAATTGTGTTCCAGACTTGTTGGTTGTAATTTTAGTGAATTAATTATTTCGTAATTCTAATTGAACTAAGTGCCTAATAATTTAGTTTGTGCATATCTATCAAAATTGGAGAATTACCTATCTTATTGGGTGCACCAATTGAAGTTGAGTACATGGATGAGCTTCTGGAAATTTTAGAGCAATTGGGGAAATTTAATCGGAAATTGATTCAGTTTATTGAAATTGGATGTGATTGAATTGAGTCTTGATTGAAACTATTAATTATGTTCCTAGATGGTAATTATGTGATTGAAAGTGTTATTGATTGTTATAATATTTATTGACCTGTATTATTTGAACAGATAGATTAGAATAACAATTAAATCTGTTCGGTTCGCTAATTTGAACAAGTTAGAATTAAAGCGTTCGCTAAGAATTAGAGCCTAATTTATAGTAGTATAATTGAGATCATTTAACGTAGAGAATTAATTTATTTGGGTAGAAATGAGTGTTTCTTTTTTTAATTATTTATTTATTTTTGGGAATTTAAAAATAAATTAGGACAGAAATCGTTGTGCATCTAGTTACTTTTTGGGCATTTTATGTCCCGTTCAAAAGTCAAAAAAATAAAGAAGAAAAGGAAGCCATTAAATAAATCCATAATAGAGATAAGCTATCATATATTCCTTGAAACTATAAAACAAATAAATAAAGAAAATGGAAATCCAATGAACCTAAGGAATCTATTCAGGTATCTAGCAAGCAGATACTTTAGCAGGGGGAAAAATTGGCCTCTTTTGCTATAAAAATGTTGTTACTTTATCTACATACTTGCATAGATACTCATAATTTAAATTTCCCATAAGTGGTCTCTCTTTTATGGAAGTAAATCTTATTGCTAACTATAATTAGTTCGCTGGTTGTTTAATGTTTTAGCTGTTGGGAAAGTTAGATGATTCTTTTATAAATTAGTTTGGTTGCTAGAAAAGAATTGCTGTACATTTTTTATATATGATTCTTTTAAAAAAAAACCTAGTTTTCATTAAATAAAGAATAAATAGAATTGTCTATCAGATTTCCTACCAATTTTTTCATCATATAAATTTCTTAACATTATCAAAACGTAAAGAGTTGGGCACATCTTATAAATAATAGAGTTAATAATGTAAGGCTCGTATTTATAAATATTGTAGTGTTATTTTGCCAGATTTTGTTGTCATCCAACTTTGTTCGTCCAACTTATCTAAGCAAGCACTATAAATTTTTTATACATGATTCTTTTAAAAGAAAACCTATTTTTTGATCACATAAATTTTATAACGTTATCAAATTAGTTAAGTTCGTAAAAAGCCTGTAGATATACAGTGACAAACACAAATATAATAAATATTTGAAATTGTGGCGGGTTTATGAATTTGAGAAATGAAATGTAGTTATATTTAGATGTAGTTACATTTCATAACATTATCAAAACGTAAAAAGTTAGACACATCTTATAAATAATAGAGCTAATTATCTAGGAGTCATATTTATAAACATTATAGAGTTATTTTCCAATAGTCTGCTGCTGTCCAAATTATCTAATGAAACCTATTTTTTTGGTATCTCCAATGGCGTAGCTGCCAGGAAAATTAGATGATCAAGTTTTCATTAAATCAAGAACAAATTAAATTTTCCATCAGATTTCCAACGGTTTTTTTCACCACTTAAATAATAGAGTTAATAATATAATAGAGTTAATTATGTAAGGTTCATATTTACAAATATCATAGAGTTATTTTGCCATATTCTGTTGTTGTCCAACCTATCATCATCTAATATATATAATTAGATATTTTTAATTATATTTTTAATTATTTTGTTTTGTAAGAAGGAAGCCCTATAAATTTTTCATATATGATTCTGTTTTGAATTATTCAGTTCTGTAAGTTTTTAGCTACATAAACTTCATAACATTATGAAAAGATCAATAGCTGAACAGAGTTTTATAGATAGGCAATTAGAAACACCCCACACATAAACCTAGTTAAGTTTATAAAAAGGTAGTGGAAAATACAATAAAAGCCACAAATATAATAAATATTAAAAATTGTGTTCGGTTTATGAATTTGAAGAGTGAAATGTATTTAAAATTCAGACAATGGATTCACCCTATAAACTTAACCTACAGTTTTATAATTTCAACAATTGTGTTTTGAATTTTAACTACTGTTTTCTCTATTTGTACTTGGGGAACCCTTTCTTAGCCCGCAATTTTTAGATTTGGTTAGAAATACTGATTTCGTTTCAGATTTGGGAAATACTGAAGATCAATCTATAATTCTATTTGTTTTTATGTAAGCAATTATTATTGTCTATATATTATTCTTTGTTGCATCAAAAGTGCAGGTTCAAGATGAAACTCAAATTCTTATGGAATGAAATCTTATTGCTAATCAAACTTAATTTTTTGTTGCTTCGATGTCTTAGGTGGCAGGAATTTCACATAATACTTTTATAAATTAGTTTGCTTGGTAGAGTTATTTTGCGAAATTTTGTTGTTGTCCAACTTATTGTTATCTAATATATATAATTAGATATTCTAATTATATCTTGACAAATTTGGATGTGAGTTGGATATATAAATTCACCTAAGAGGAGAAAAAATAAGGAAATCTCATTTATGTTTTGAAGTCAATGGTCTCAACTAAATTGTCCAACTTGAAACTGCCCATTTGTAGTACCATTTTTACATTAGCGTTGGGCATATTTGAACAATAAATGAAGGAGTCCTGGTCAAAATTGGGAGCAGGGGCTGACTTGGTGGCTGCATTTTTGAGATTGTGGTGGTAATGTGAAGCCACGTGGTTCGCTGACTTGAACATCAAGCTGTTTTTGATCAAAGTTATAGTCTCATTCTTATATTTTCCTTATCAGCACATAAACAGTTGGACAGGTGGACAATCTAAATTTTATAAAGATATGAAAACATAAACAGTTGTACAGTTTCATGAATGAGCAATTAGAAGCACCACACACAAACTTAGTTAACTCCTCAATTATTGAGACACATTAACGAACACACGGTGCGCATCTGCTGAACATGTCAGGGTGTACGTACCAGGCTTTGCAACTGCAGGACCAGAGCGTTGGAGGCCTACTTTTCACAGCATTACGGCAGGAAGAAGATCGACAATCTTGTTACTTCATCTACATAATAAAAGAATCATGTGAATTTCCTCACAACTAAGACTTCAAAGAAACTCAAAATTAACTATGATTAGCAATAAGATTTACTTCCACAAAAGTTTCCATCTTCAATGTCCACTTTTGATACAACAAAGAATAATATATAGACAACAAGAACTGGTTATATAGAAACAAAAGGAATTAAAGATTGATCTGGAATTTTCACTTTTGGTTAAAGGCTTTTTGTTAAGGTGTGTGTATGAGACAAAAAGAGAGACAACACTTTTGACAAATTTAAATTATGTCCACCTTATTTTTTTTTTTTGGTGGTATGATTCTTTTAAAGGGAAAACAAATTTTCATTAAATGAAGAATAATTAAAATTTTCATCACATTTTCGAACAGTTTTTTCACCACTTAAATGTGATAAAATTATCAAAACATAAAGAGTCGGACAGATCTTGTAAATAATAGAGTTAATTATGTAAGAGTTATATTTACAAATATTATAGTGTTATTTTGCCAAATTCTGTTGTTGTTCAACGTATCGTCATCTCATCTATGTAGTTAAATAATTCTAATTATGAGGTGATGGCTGGTCCTATGTGTTTCATATGACCCGAAATTCTCGCTCTCTCTGTAAGAATTCAAATGCTCTTTCTTGTTGTGTACTGCGCTTGATTTGTTGTCTTCGGAACCCCGAGGATGTCACTACAGAGGAATATAATGAATTCTACAAGAAGACATTCAATGAATACTTGGAGCCTTTAGCAACTTCACACTTCACAACCGAGGTGATGATGGATATTATCTTATACTGCTATTCTATTTAATAAACTTAAACAGACTGTTTTGCATCTAAATAATAAAGTGTCGCATCAATCGCTTAACTCATCTATTCTAAATCTAAACTTGGATATTTCTGAACAAGAAGACCCAAAAAAATAATGTGATGTTTTATTTACCATAATCACAAGTAGTAGTTTGTTTTAATTAATTGTATTGTCTGTTTTATTGAATATTTTTTTAAATAATTCAATTCTCTTGTCCTTAACTTCCATATCCAGTGCTCCCAAAAAAAAACTTCCCTATCCATACATCCACATATTGTGCCGAATTACTATTTCAATTTGTATTCATTTCGGGTAGGGGGCTGACGTGTGTTATTAAAAAAAAAAAAACATTAAATAAATCTAGAAAGTCATTTTTGCATTATTTACTGGAATTTTTAACAATAAATTAGAACTTAATATATAGTCAATTACATTTTTCAGTTGACATAATATATTATATAGAACATAGAAAAAAGAAGTGGAAAATCATTTTCCAACCTTGCCTTCAAAAAAATAATCAAAATAGAAACAAAACAAGAGGAAACAGCTCTGTTTTAAAGTTCACCAGAAATTTCCATTTTGTAAGTCAAACTTTGCTGATTTAACTGACATAGGTATAATTTTTAAAACAAATGAACTTTATCAAGGAAAAGTACTGAACAATTTGTGTGACCTAATCTAACCTAACTCCAAGGAAAAGGATCGGATATAAGGCTCTATCTTAAACGAGTGTTCATTTTCCCCAAGAAATTTAATCCATTTACTGAAAGAAACCTTCGAATTCGGCTGTTGAATGTTCCGAATAAAAAAAAGACCCATCCAATTTTCTAGGTTGAACATTCCAATCCAATCAAGAGAAATGTTTGAGACCTATTAACAAACACATGGTGTGCGTACCAGGAAGAGGACCAACAGATATACAAAATAGTAACACAGTTTTCAATAGTAGCAATCACATTACAAATATACGAAATCACGGGTGTACGTACTGGGATTTGCAACTGCAGGAGCACAGCTTTGGATCCCAAATTCTCACAGCGTTACGGCGCGAAGAGGACCGACAGTTATGGCAAGAAGAGGACAAAAAGCACTCCTTCGAGAAGCTATCTATATGATATATATATATATATATCTTGTGAGAAAGGCCATCTTCGAAGGGGCAAATTCTATTTTCTTCTTCCTTGTCGGTCAACCAAATGTGGTAGGGAGGAGGCCTGGGAAATAGAGAACCCGCAGACCACCGTTTGGGAGGAATTCTAGGATGAATGATCTTGGAAATGAAACAGCAACAGAACGAGGGTGGGCCTTTTGACAGGCTGAAGCATGAAATTTGTTTGTTTCTGTGTGTGGCCCAACCGAACAACACGTAGGCAGCCCAAATCCGTAACAAACAAAGAACCCATTGTGACACCATTCGTTACACCACACTTACATGCTTTTATATATGTTATAGATTTAGTATTTAGAATGTCAGATTTGTTGGATATTTTGTGTTTTTTAAGGATATTTAGTATTTAGCATATGATAAATGCACGATGGTTCTTGAAAATATTTATATTTTGTCTATACTATTAATTTTTAAAAAATGTCCTCTGTGTTCGCCTCGATTCGATGAAGCCCTCGCCTCGCCTCGCCTCGTCGCCTCGCGCTTAGGCATTAGGAGACCTTGTCGCCTCAGTTCGCTTTTCGCCTTAAAAAACACTACGTTAAATGGTGGTGCCCCACATTCTCATGTTATTAACTTGTACCTTAATGTTGTGCAACATCTATGAGTTTTTGCTAGCATTTCTCAATGTTTAATCTTCCTTGTATTTGTTGTTCCATCTATATACTGGACATCCAGGGCGGATTAAAATCCAGGTCAGTATTTATGGGAAGAGGATTTTACTCTTGTGGGAAGAAATACAAAAGACAGGACCTTGAGGCAAAAATTATGAAAGAGAAAATGAGCAACAATGGAGAGAGGAGAAAAAAAATACCAAGTTACAATCGAACTTTTTTCAAGTGAAGGATACGAAACATCAGCACATGCACGTCGCAGAATAGCACAAGCACCATGAAAAATAGCATAAGCAATATGGCTGATATCACTCTTCTCAATCCTCGGCTGTAATTAAAAGAATAAATCAAAATAAAATAAAATATCCAAACTACATGAGGTAAATATAAGTAAGTATACCTGATAGAAGTTTAGATTGTCATTATAGTGCACTATCATTCCCCTATAGAATCGAATAACTTCAACAGCAATACTTTCGGGTGGAACACGCCCATGCCTTTTGGCCAAAAAAATATTTATCTTTCTCAATTTTAGCAAACACCCTTTGCTCAGCATTGCCCGGAGGAGGAATGTTAGAACGCCAATTAGGAATATATTTCATTACACAAGCATCCAAAACGATTCCATCAAACAGTTTACGACCATGCATAATATCCCACACCTTCATTATAAATTTTTTTTTCAGAGTACTGTTCCAAAACGAAGAATCGTCCAACAGCCAACAAATATCCACTTTTTCACTAAAACACAAATGAATAGAAGATTAATTAGTCAAAACTACATAAGGACAAAATATTAAAAAGAAATAACATATTTAACTGATTGATATTTTTTGTCCCGCAAGTCCTTCATAAAAAGGGAAAACTCGTTCGAAAGTCTCTGGTCTCTGAAATAACTTTGCAACCGTCGCCATTGGAAATCATTATCCTCTCTATAAGGCTTAACTATAACTTCAGCCATCAAAGAGTGAAAATCCTCTATGTCTTTGAATTTTGCATTATAAAGCTCTGCAAAAAAAATTGAAATTTCATAGATGCATTTCAAAAAACATAACCAAATAAAATGAAAATAAAGAATGAGTTACAATATACCATTACTATGTATGGCCTTTTTTACCCAAATAAGTTTGGCATTTTGGTTCACGACCGAGATTCCATCTAACAATCTAGTAGAGCAGTATCCCAAAGAATATATTTTGCGTAATGCCATGCTAATGTCACTAAATAGTGGCATTGCCTTGGGTTGAATGTAACTCCACCAATCCTCGATGGGGCAGGACTTTTCAGACCAACTTCTGCATTCAGAATCGACATAGGAGAAAATATCTTGTCCGACTCTTTCAAGTAAAACTCTTTTGTCATCAACAAAATAACCCTCTACAATGAAACTCCCTTTGCAAATCCTCAATGCTGCCAGGAAATCCATTGCTTGGCGATTATTTTCGAAGTCAAAGCTACTGATGGGCGTTGCAAACTCTTCAATTAGAGGGCTGGAAAAAGAAGTTTTCCCATATTGAAATTCACCTTGCAGTAGATATAACATTTCAGCTCCTTTACTAGATGGGTCTGGAAATTCTTCCTCAGACCGTGGATGCATTCTAGACATACGTGGCATATCTTGTTGGCCACTAGCAACCAATGTTGCCCACGAAGACGGTTGTTCCATAACTAATAAAATAAATAAAAAAAAGAACAAAGTGTAGGTAAACTTCATAACAGAGTCAATATACAAATAAAAATAAACATAATAATAGCGGATGAGGAAATAAAATGATCAATATCATTACAAAAAAATAATTACAAACAGTATTAAAACAATCTCAACCAGAAACAATATAAACATATAAAAAAGGGCAAAACTACAATGATAAATAGCTAACAACAAAACACACAATGTAGATGATAACATAATAGAGCTTTGTTGTTAACTTTGTGAGACCTTAATCATCACAGCACCATAGAACAAAAAGCAAAGATAGAGAGAGCAAACAGAAATAGTGCACGGAAGAAGAGAGTACCGAATCAGCGAGCAAAGGTGAGCAGAGAAGACCGGCAAGGCTATAGGCAGCGATCGGCGAGGTGAGGAGCAAGAGGGGAGACGAACCGTTCTTTACAGATGAACCGTTCTTTATAAGTTAAGGCTATTTTAGGAAAAACAATAAAAATTTATGAGACATATGTCCTAGAACCCATAGCTACGGTAGAAGATTGAGTGAGGTGGTTTGGCGGAGGGAAAATTGGAGACATTATTGGTTTTTTTTTTTATCCAATAATATCCTATAACTAAAAAACCTACATAAAAAAACCAAATAATGTCTCCAATTTTCCCTCCGCCAAACCACCTCACTCAATCTTCTACTGTGGGTTCTATGACACGTCTCATAAATTTTTATTGTTTTTCCTAAAATAGCCTTAACTTAATAAAGAACGGTTCGTCTATAAAGAACGGTTTGTCTCCCCTCTTGCTCCTCCTCGCCTCGCCGATCGCCGCCTATAGCCTTGCCGGTCTTCTCCGCTCACCTTTGCTCGCTGATTCGGTACTCTCTTCTTCTGTGCACTATTTCTATTTGCTCTCTCTCTCTCTACTCTCTCTATCTTTGCTTTTTCTTCTATGGTCTGATGGTGGTGCTGTGATGATTACAAAGTTAACAACAAGGCTCTGTTCTGTCTATTATGTTATCATCTACATTGTGTGTTTTGTTGTTAGCTATTTACCATTGTAGTTTTGCCCTTTTTTATATGTTTATATTGTTTCTGGTTGAGATTGTTTTAATATTGTTTGTAATTATTTTTTTGTAATGATATTGATCATTTTATTTCCTCATCCACTATTATTATGTTTATTTTTATTTGTATATTGACTCTGTTATGAAGTTTACTTACACTTTATTCTTTTTTTTATTTATTTTATTAGTTATGGAACAACCGTCTTCGTGGGCAACATTGGTTGCTAGTGGCCAACAAGATATGCCATATATGCCTAGAATGCATCCACGGTCTGAGGAAGAATTTCCAGACCCATCTAGTAAAGAAGCTGAAATTTTATATCTACTGCAAGGTGAATTTCAATATGGGAAAACTTCTTTTTCCAGCCCTCTAATTGAAGAGTTTGCAATGCCAATCAGTAGCTTTGACTTCGAAAATAATCGCCAAGCAATGGATTACCTGGCAGCATTGAGGATTTGCAAAGGGAGTTCCATTGTATAGGGTTATTTTGTTGATGACAAAAGAGTTTTACTTGAAAGAGTCGAACAAGATATTTTCTCCTATGTCGATTCTGAATACAGAAGTTGGTCTGAAAAGTCCTGCCCCATCGAGGATTGGTGGAGTTACATTCAACCCAAAGTAATGCCACTATTTAGTGACATTTTGGGTTGAATGTAACTCCACCAATCCTCGATGGGGCAGGACTTTTCAGACCAACTTCTGTATTCAGAATCGACATAGGAGAAAATATCTTGTCCGACTCTTTCAAGTAAAACTCTTTTGTCATCAACAAAATAACCCTCTACAATGAAACTCCCTTTGCAAATCCTCAATGCTGCCAGGGAATCCATTGCTTGGCGATTATTTTCGAAGTCAAAGCTACTGATGGGCGTTGCAAACTCTTCAATTAGAGGGCTGAAAAAAGAAGTTTTCCCATATTGAAATTCACCTTGCAGTAGATATAACATTTCAGCTCCTTTACTAGATGGGTCTGGAAATTCTTCCTCAGACCGTGGATGCATTCTAGACATACGTGGCATATCTTGTTGGCCACTAGCAACCAATGTTGCCCACGAAGACGGTTGTTCCATAACTAATAAAATAAATAAAAAAAAGAACAAAGTGTAGGTAAACTTCATAACAGAGTCAATATACAAATCAAAATAAACATAATAATAGTGGATGAGGAAATAAAATGATCAATATCATTACAAAAAAATAATTACAAACAGTATTAAAACAATCTCAACCAGAAACAATATAAACATATAAAAAAGGGCAAAAGTACAATGATAAATAGCTAACAACAAAACACACAATGTAGATGATAACATAATAGACAGAATAAAGCTTTGTTGTTAACTTTGTGAGACCTTAATCATCACAGCACCATAGAACAAAAAGCAAAGATAGAGAGAGCAAACAGAAATAGTGCACGGAAGAAGAGAGTACCGAATCAGCGAGCAAAGGTGAGCAGAGAAGACCGGCAAGGCTATAGGCAGCGATCGGCGAGGTGAGGAGAAAGAGGGGAGACGAACCGTTCTTTACAGATGAACCGTTCTTTATAAGTTAAGGCTATTTTAGGAAAAACAATAAAAATTTATTAGACATATGTCCTAGAACCCATAGCTATGGTAGAAGATTGAGTGAGGTGATTTGGCGGAGGGAAAATTGGAGACATTATTGGTTTTTTTTTTATCCAATAATATTTCACCATTAGAGACAACCAGAGCATATATCACCCCGGGGGTTGTCCAATCAACATACTACACAACACCATCCAAAAAGGTTGATGAATTCTTGTTGACGCCAAAATCCCTAGAATATATCCCCCAACATTTATCTTGAACGTCGTAATAGTGTAGGCAAGGATCGAACACAGAATGGACTCGAATTCGGTTCCCACCCTCCAATACTGCATGGCCGGTTACGGCAAGATCCATACTTTTATCTTCAGGCAACGGAGTCCAACCACCACCCAGGTCTGTATCCAAAACCTCAGCCCAGGGATATGGGTCCTCCTCACCCATTGCAGATGATCCCATCACGTACATCTTTCCATTCGAGGCTATAGAGTAAGGCGCCTCTCTTGGTTTCATCATAGAAAATGCCTTGTGCCAACCATTTTCAGGACAAAGAGTATCCAGGTAATAAACATCTTTGAAGGTCTCTGGGATTGGGGTGTACTCACCAGAGAAATCGCAACCCCCGATGACATATATCCTAGAACCCACAGCTATGGTAGAAGATTGAGCGAGGTGGTTTGGCGGAGGGAAAATTGGAGACCTTATTTGGCTTTTTTGGTCGTCAACAGTGGTGGAATCATCGCTCTTGATCTCGTACCAGTCGTCGCCGTCACTTCTCCTTGCCCGGAAATATATCGGCATCTCCGATCCCGACGTCTCAGATTACTTAGGGAGGAGTTGCAGTGAGATTGGAAAGGTGGTCGGAGAGGAAGGCACCAACGCTCAGATGTAATTGCTTCGTATGAAGGGTGGATTGGATTGGAGTAAGCAATGTGCTTTTCACATGTTGGAATAAGTTTGCAGCAATCGGTTGGAAATGCAGAACGCTTATAGAATGTTGAAGAAGGAAGTCATCTTCAAGGTAGATTTTGAGAAGGCTTACATCCATGTGGATAGGAATTTTTTTTGGGATTCTGTTATGGAAAGAAAGGGATTGGCGAAAGATAGAGGAAGTGGATTAGGTGGTGTCTTTTGACTTATAATTTGCCAGTCATTGTATATGGGAAAGATGGTTAGTCCTTTTAACGCATCTAGAGTGCTTACACAACAAGGGAATCCATTATCACTTTTTTTTTCTTTTTTCTTTTTTTTTTTCTGGTGGCCGACGTGTTGGATAGGTTGACTGATAGGGCAAGGGAGATTGGGCTAGTTGATAGGTTTTTAGTTGGGAGGGATGGAGTAGGTTTTTCTCACTTACAATATACAGATAATGCTGTCTTTTTCCTTCAGGGGACGAAAGTATGGTAGTAAATTTTCTTTCACTTTTGAGGATTGTCAAATTTGTTTTTGGACTTAAAAGATAAACTTAAGTAATAAAGAGTAGCATTGTTAGAATTAATGTTCAGCAAAGTAAAAAAGGGTTGGCAGGAGTTTTAGGGTGTTCAATTGAGTCTTCCTTTACGGATTTTGGTCTGTTGTTGGGAGGTAACCCCAGCCCAGAGCTGTGTCTTTTGGGGCTCTCTTGTTTTGGAAGAGATTGGTAAGAGGTTGGAGGGATGGAAGAGGGCTTCATCGTTGTCTAAAAGGAAGGGGGAGAAAAATTTGAAGTAAAACAGGGGAGTGCAAAAATGAAGCAAAAAAAGTCGCACAGAGACTCCAATTAATTAATGGAAAGAGCTTGTCTATGAAATGGAACGCAATGCAATGCAGGACCAAGAGGAAATAAAGAGATTGAAGAAGAAATGCAGGAGGAGGAGGAGTTCTTACGTTGAAAGGCAGTCAACAAACATAGAGGCCCTGACATGGTAATGCTTGTGAGCTAAAGGATGAGCCACCAGCTCATCAACCACTCCTGCTGCGTTTTCCACTTTAGAAATCTTCAATTTGGAAAAATACACATGAAGCACAGCACCAGCAACATTCCAGAAATCTAAGCCGGTCCAGATGACAGCTAGCTCATCCCTTCCGTGCGAGACCAAATTTACGCTTGGAGAAGGACCCTCGGGTCTTTCTGCTGGTACCCACTCAAAATCTAAATCATCAGAATATCTATCACCATAATCAAACGACCTCATAATAGCAATATTCTTGTATCTATCAAAGGGGAGATCCTCCAAACCCTTGACTTGCTTGGGGACGGTTTCACCATTAGAGACAAGCAGAGCATCTATCACCTCGGCGTTGTCCAATCAACATAATACGGAACACCATCCAAAAAGGCTGATGAATTCTTGTTGACGCCAAAATCCCTAGAATATATCCCCCAACATTTATCTTGAACGTCGTAATAGTGTAGGCAAGGATCGAACACAGAATGGACTCGAATTCGGTTCCCACCCTCCAATACTGCATGGCCGGTTACGGCAAGATCCATACTTTTATCTTCAGGCAACGGAGTCCAACCACCACCCAGGTCTGTATCCAAAACCTCAGCCCAGGGATATGGGTCCTTCTCACCCATTGCAGATGATCCCATCACGTACATCTTTCCATTCGAGGCTATAGAGTAAGGCAACTCTCTTGGTTTCATCATAGAAAATGCCTTGTGCCAACCATTTTCAGGACAAAGAGTATCCAGGTAATAAACATCTTTGAAGGTCTCTGGGATTGGGGTGTACTCACCAGAGAAATCGCAACCCCCGATGACATATATCCTAGAACCCACAGCTATGGTAGAAGATTGAGCGAGGTGGTTTGGCGGAGGGAAAATTGGAGACCTTATTTGGCTTTTTTGGTCGTCAACAGTGGTGGAATCATCGCTCTTGATCTCGTACCAGTCGTCGCCGTCACTTCTCCTTGCCCGGAAATATATCGGCATCTCCGATCCCGACGTCGGACGAGCCCATGATAAGGCTTGTATATTCTATGTATTCTTTGTTTTCAGATGGCTAGAGAATCTAGGGTTTGGGACGGCAGCAGGATAGATAGGTAATGAGGAGAGAGTGAATTTATTTTTGTTTGGGTAACAGGATATTTTTACCTAGGACTGTTTGGTTAAATAGTTTAGGGTTTACACGCTCCACGGATATATCTATCCTTGTATGGGGTCTTTTTGCGGTTAGGGTTATTTTGGGAAGATGGTTATAATTAACTTTTTGGTAAAAAAAAAATTTGTGAGAGAGAAAATGGGTTATAATCTGGGAAGTAGATTATAACTCACTTCCCAAAATAGGCCTTAGCTTTCCTCAATTGAAAATTTATAATTAAAAAATAAAAAACATAAGTTAGGCCAAGTTTGGCATCCTCCAAAAAATTCAAAAAGTCAAAAAGTCACTATCCTATTTAAGTCACATCATCTTATTTAAGTCACATCAGCTCTCTAACACATCACTTCAAACCCAACCCAAATTCAACCCATATTTCATAAAAAGTCAAAAAGTACACTTATTTAGTCTTCCCAAACTTGACCTTAGAGTATCTCCTATTTATACTTTCTCTTTTCTTCTTTATTTTTTTTTATTTTTTATTTTTTATTTTTCCATTAAATTTGATTGAAAATTTTATTCTTAACTTAATTTCATTTGGAACATTGGATTTTTTACTATTTTATTTTTATCAAATTATTTAAAAAAATCCCAACTTTAAATAAATAAATAAAAACTTGTTGAAAAATATAAATGTATCTTTAAAATATGTTTTAACCATGTTTTTATGAAATAAAATCATTTCCATTATCCATTCATAAAGAAAAGTTAACCATTCGACAATGAATAAATCATGAATGAAAATGGCCAAGTGTAACGCCCTCAAAATAATAACATTAAACCTAACAAATAAAACATGCATTGATACTCAAAGTTCCACATTCTTTTACTCATTAGAGTTCCATTACATAAGTATTACATGTTAACATCATAACAAATGCCCTACGGGCTTACAGCTTTCCAAGTTAACACTTGGTTACAACAAAAGAGTACTAACTCGTTTACACATTAAGCCCTTGGCTTGAAGTTACATGTAATACATCAAAAGTTAAGCAACAAAAGTATGCCCGCCTCTAGCCTCCCAAACTACTCCTTGGAGGTGGCATGCATCCGAAACCATTGGATGAAAAAGACACAAATAATGCATATCCCAAGGGTTTAGATGTTGATGTCAATTTGGAAGTAAAATGTGGAGAAACAAAAGAATGAGTTGATCCAAAATCAATGACAATATGAGCTGAATGACCACATATAGAAAGTGTACCTGACACAACGTTCTCAGTAGCATTGGGGTTTCCAGCACTAAAGCAAAAGCTCTCCTTTGGTGTTTATATTCTTTCCTCCTTCATATGACTGTTCTTGATTTATGAATTGGTTCAAGAGTACCCATCATAGAGTTGGTGAATTTTGGACAATCTTTCACCTAATGACCAACTTGGCCACATCTATAGCATGCTCCCATTGCCTGATAACATTGTCTTCAATGAGCTTTTCCATAAATTGAACAATTCGAAATGGTGCTACCTTAGGGATAGTAGAGCTTTGGTTGGCTGAACCAATTGAGCCAATAGGTCTGGTATTCATTTTCTTTTGTGGTGCTAACCTAGATCCTCCCGACTGATTCCCAAAATTGCTTCTTTTGACCTATTCTGCGAAAACGTGAGGTTTTAATTCCTTTCTTAGTGATGTATGCTCGATCTACCACATCTGCATAGGTTGGTAGTTTTAAAACCTCAATCTTAGCTTTGAGTTCAGCATCTAACCCTGCTTCGAATTTCCTAGCTTTTCAGGCTTCCGTTTGAATAACATACGTTACAAATCGCACTAGTCAAGTGAACTTACTTTCAGATTTTGCTACCACGTGCTCCAAATCCAAACTTTTTCAGATTAAATCGAAGCTCTCAACACCCTCTATCTTTTTAACAAAGGCCCTAGGCTAGATTCACACCCTAGGGAGATCAAACCTTAGAGAGAGTGCAAGTTTAGAGAGAGAGAGGGTCGGATTAAGGGTTTTGGATCAAAAAGAAAGTGAAAAAGTGATGTTTAAGACGCTGCTGTCCGCTGATATAAAACACGCTCGCTCGAGCGAAGGCTTCGTCGCTCGAGCTACCAGACACAGAAAACTCTCGCTCGAGCCAAGAAGTTCTCGATCGAGCGAAGAAAAACCCAGACCGCTCGAGCTAAGGAAGCTCGCTTGAGCCAAGAAAGACAGCTCTCAGGTCCAGAACCAGGTGCAACCGCTCGCTCGAGCGAGCCACTCTGGCTCGACCCACCATACTCGAACCCACTCTCGCTCGAGCGACCAACTCCTCGCTCGAGCGAAGGTCCAAAATTCTGGGCAGCAACACTAGGCTCCTGAACACAACCAACCTGTAACAAACCTGGCCAACACATCCTATAACTCAAATATGAAGAAAAAAGAATGTAAACACGATAATAACCAACTACCAACATCCACGGACACATGTCCGGATCACTGTACAACAAGGGTAAACCCGGGATTGCTATACCAAGGCACCTATCTATCTTTCCAAATTTGGACGTTTCTCCCAATACGCCACCGTAGCCCTTCCGAAAGCAAATTGCGAGCATTCCAAATACTCCTCCAAGTAAAGAAAAGTTCGCTCCTAATGGAGCATCCAAAATCAAGGACTTAGGGTAGTATTTTGCCTTCAATAGTTGTGCCACCAGACTATTAGGAAACTTCAAGAGCCTCCAGCATTGTTTAGCAAGCAAAGCTCTATTAAAAGCCGACAAAGACGTGAACCCATCCCACACTCTTGTTTAGCTTTGCAGAACCAATTCCAATTTTACCAATGGATTTTCCACTTCTCCTCTATTTGTCCCCACCAAAACCGTGCAATAAGAGCATTCATATTAGATGTGCATCTGATTTTTATTAATAGCTAACTAGGATTCGGTGTCGAGTAAGTGTGCCATCGGTTGTGCAGTTTCAGGTTTGGTGGTGGCCTCCACTGGAAGGAATTTTCAAGATAGATTTTGATGGTGCACGCTTTGCATTGAAAGGATTGATTGGAGCAATAGTGCCAAACCATTATGGGGAGATTATTGTTGCGATGTCGACGAAATTAACATCTATAAATGGGGGTGGACAAGGCTCTAAAAAACGGTTGTGGTTGCCGTAACGGTGGCAGTGACGCGGTTGTGGGGTGTAAAGGCCGTAGTGTAACGGTTGCGGTAACTGGAACTGTGAATTTTTTTATTTTTCGCACAATTTGAAAAAAACTTATCGATACGCATATTTTTTTTTCCATGATCATATTTTTTGGGTTAAAAATAAATATTGATCAATTTTTATAAATGTTTAAGTATGATCCAATATATTTCATATTTTTAAATCGCTATAAACTGAGTTTTTTATATTTTATTTTAATAATTAATGACTTTATATTATACAAAAAATCAATCACTAACTATTATATATAAGATAAATAATGACAAAAGTAAGAGAATAAATAAGAGCCTAAATATATATATATATATATATACATACATATTTTAATCAAGCCAAATAGATAATGACCACACTTATTATTATTATTATTTTCAAACAATATATAGATAGACGCACACAAACAAAATTGTTTAGTGATAGCAGCTGAATAGAATATCATATGTCTTACAGCTTCAACAAATCAATAACATGTTATTCATCTTCCCTTTTCTCTCTATCCCTCTTCCCCCATTTTCAGCCTTTTTTTGTGTGTTTTTTCGAAAGAAACAGTTTGGAACCGTTACGTAACGTTGCGTAACAGGCCGTTACGGCACCGCTACGACCGCTACGGCAGTCGCTACGGCCGACACACCTGTGAATCTCAATCACACTGCAAAAGCGGCCGTAACGGGTGGCGGTAAACGCCAAAACCGTTACGTAATGGTTGCGGTCGCTTTTTAAAACCTTGGGGTGGAATGTTTTGAAGCACTTGTTGCGTTGCACTCGGTCCAGTTAGCATGCCATTTTGGTCTGCATTCTGTCATTCTTGAAGGTGATTCTTTATCTGTAGTTCAAGCTCTGCAATCTCTAATAGAGCAGCTTTCTTCCTTCCACCATTTGGTGGCATCCACTCAGTCGGGGTTGCGGTGGTTTCGATCGTGGGAAGTGGCACATGTTAAAAGGCGGTAATTCGATTGCGCATTGTCTCGCTTAGATGGTAGTTGAGTTGAGCAGTTGTACTGTTTGGACGGAAAAGGTTCATTCGTCACTACATTCTTAATTTGGTTGATCAGGAAGCTTCGTTGGTTTAATTTGTTTTGTATTGGTGGATTTTGTCAAAACTCCCTCGTAATAAAATTTTAATGTATTAAGTATAAATACAAAAAGTTTTTATTGAAAAATTCAACATATACCACTATTATCAAAATATTAAACTTTAAAATAATATAATTTTTGATCTAGATGTTGATTTTTAATAAAATTAATTTTTTTTGAATCTTCTTACCAAGATCTATCAAATAATATTCATATTGGCTATGAAATTCTTTTTTAAAAAAATTATTACAGTCGAAATTGATATAAATAGTAACATATTACTCTGGTAATATTGTCTTAAAAAACATATATTTTATTTTGTCCTTACTCAATTATGCGCCTCATTCTTAGGGGCTTTATGAAACAAAATAAATTGGATTGTCCTTTTTACTAAACAAGGTTCCAATTGAGAGGTTTTGACTAAATTTTCCTTTTGAATTCTATGTCTTACTATCTAAAAAAACACTTTTTCTGATTTATATCCACTCAATCTATATGCATTTAAAACGTTTCATATTTATAAAAAAGTGTGCACCATCAAAATTGTTTGACCCAGTTTAAAAATTAATACAATTTTAGGGGTTGCTTGGGATGTTTTAAATAAGTACACTTTTTAATTTTTTTTATGAAATATGGATTAGGTATGGATTGGATTTGAAGTGATGTGGTAGGGAGGTTGTCACGCCCCATATTTTATCAC